CTCTGCAAATAAAACCAACAAACAAATAAATAATTGGTGTAGAAAAATTTTCACTCAGGAATTGTTAGTAAATTGCAAGTAAAGGCAAGCAACAGTGAATTAAACTATCAAATGTACTTCAATAAGCTCTGTTTTATTTACAACTTCAAAAAAAAAATTTTTTTTTTTACAGTGTATGAGGGAATAAGCTACTCATCCCTTGAAGCACTGTGAATTATGTAATATATATATATATATATATATACACACACACACAAACACACACACACTATAAACTGATATACTATATATTAATTCTGTAAAAAATTGAACAGAAAAAAATATATATATATTAAAAATTCTGTTTGGGCCAGGTACATTTAAAAAAATAATACTTTTATTCAACAAAGATGCATTTAATTGATTAAAAGTGACAGTAAAGACACTGATACAAATATTTCTATTTCAAATAAATGCTGTTCTTTTGATATTTCTATTCATCAAAGAATCCTGAAAAATAAAATGTATCACTGTTTCTACATAATATTTGGCATCCCTAACTGTTTTCATCATTGATAATAATCAGAAATGTTTCTTGAGCAGTAAATCAGCATATTATAATGATTTCTGAAGATCATGTGACAGAAGACTGGAGTAATGATGCTGAAAATTCAGCTTTGATCACAGCAATAAATTACATTTTACAATATATTCACACAGAAAACAGTTATTTTAAATTATAATAATATTACACATTTTTACTGTATTTTTGATCAAATAAATGCAGCCTTGAGTGAGAATATGAGAAATCTTACCAAACTTTTTAACGGTATTCTATATGTGCTAAAAGTCAACTTTTAGTAGTTCACTACTAATGACCTCACAGCTAACAGACATTGACTACCATTAATAAGTTAAAAGAAAAGGAAATGCAAATTAACCTCTTAGGGATACAATGCACAAATATATGTATGTTTATTGGTCAAATATGTCCTAACTGTTAACTGATACTCCAGATGGCGACCTGTTAACATGTCCACTCACAGCAGGCCATTTCAGGCCCAAACCGATTTCACACGTGAACATATTAAGCAGCTCTGCTTTGACCGGTGTGCCATCGACGTGATACAACTCTGACACGACAAGCAGGACGACGCAGAGCCCTTTAGCACACACTGGCCGTCGCTTCTCCTCCTACTCACACACTCCCGCGTGAACAGAGGAGGCAGCTGACGACGTATCGGGTCAGTACAGACACCTGAGAGTCTGACAATAAAACAAGAGAAAGGTTGCGAAGGATCAAGAGGAGTGTGATTACAGCTGACATCGTCTCAGGAGGCTGGTCGCCATGGTAACCTGCCGTAGCCGGATGCTCCTTGATTGGCTGGCGGACCCCGTCTCCCAACAGCCCCTGCTCCTCCATTAGTATTCAGAGAGTTTCTCCTCATATGCTTCTTATCGGCCTGTTTTGCTCTCTCTCTCTCTCTCTCTCACACACACACCTATTTTTCTTCTCAACTTGCAGCTAACAGGAAGCATTTGCTCTGTAAGTGTCGCACTGACTGCTGAATCTCTACACATATACACACATCAACGACACGTTTGACTTTGAAAATTCACAGAACAGCGATAAATGTGACCATACTTTGTTCTGCAATTTTTCACCACCATAAACTATTTTGACATGAGGGTGAAAGATTTCCTCAAGCTGATTTCGTATGAAATATTGCTGTGTTGACCAACAGAAAGCTGCTTCATACATCGCTACACTACTGACAAACAACCTGCGAAAATGTACTAATGTGGCTGCATCTTAACACCAGGAATATGCCTGCGTGATTCATCAAAACTGAAATTGCACTATGGCTTAGTGCGATTATCAAACCACAGCGGCTGTGATTTAATTAAATAAATATATGGTCTGCGTGTTTCTGAGTGAAGCGCAGCACTGTGTTCAGTTACACACGAGCTGCTCATGGCTGCAGCATCTCAGAGCGACTCAGTTCACAGGAAATGCTGCGTGCCTTTGGAAACAAAACTGTCTTCCCAAACATGTAATGAGAAATGCTTACTGAAAAAAAAAAGAGCTTCCTGCGGTTTTCTGTCAAAATAAAAATTTGCAAGTGAAGAAAATAAAACAGAAATATTAGTATTCTAATTTAACAGCTGTAATGTAAAATTGAATTATTAGTATCATATTATTTTTTAAATATTTTTTTTCTTTTACAGTGAAATATTAAAATAGTAATATTTATTTTCTTTTTATTTAGTAAATAAGTATTAAATACGTTGTTATTTTTTATATATATTTTTGAAAAAAAAAAGAGCTTCCTGCGGTTTTCTGTCAAAATAAAAATTTGCAAGTGAAGAAAATAAAACAGAAATATTAGTATTCTAATTTAACAGCTGTAATGTAAAATTGAATTATTAGTATCATATTATTTTTTTAATATTTTTTTTCTTTTACAGTGAAATATTAAAATAGTCATATTTATTTTCTTTTTATTTAGTAAATAAGTATTAAATACGTTGTTATTTTTTATATATATATATTTTTTCAAAGCCATATTTATATATAATCACAATATTTTGGTCGAATTGTGCAGCCCTATAAACAAGAACAGCAAACCTGGATTTAAAAAAAAAATCACATTTAAAATCACAATCGCAATTTTTATCAGAAAAAAAAAATTGCCATTTGATTTTTTTCCCTAACCAGAAATATATATCCAGAAAGTAAACAAGTTTTACTTGCTAAAAAAAAAAAATTCTAATTTGTAAATAAAACAGATTTTTGGAGTAAGTTTTACAAGAAAATACAATTTCAGTTTTTAATTCGATGTGCTACTTTTCATTTGTTTGTACAATTTTCTAGCAGTTTCTGATGTTTCTCATGTATATGTATACATATGTATGTATTATTCAAAGGTCAAGTGTGTATGTGATTTCTGCACCACTAGTGGCATCAAACAGAACTGCAAAAATAATGACTAGCTATGTTGGAAATTGAATACTACCTTACTTTATTATGAACAGCATGTGAAATAGTACACATTGTGCAACATTTCAAACACTAGTATGCAGCACTGTTGCCGCATGACCTCACTACACTAAATGTTTAACTCACAGAGTTCACCTAGTTATCATCAAGGGGTCGTTCACACACAGAAAGGTTTATGAATTCCACTTTTCTATTGTTTTTCTATGTAAACATGGCCTGTGACATCTGTGAGCGTTGCTCTTGAGTCTCACATCTTTTGCAGCGTTGCATGCATGACACTGCGTTCTAAAAATGCTATGCTCAAGTTAAAAGTTCAACTTTTACAAAACGTGTCTCGAGACCTTCATTCTCTAGTGAAGGAACCGATTGGCCAGCATAAAATTTCACACTCTCATGTTGGTTTGGTCTGGTTGTCTCTCTCACCTGCTGCTGACTTTGCTCCTCCAGGTTGAGCTTCACCTCCAGCGACTGCCGGGCCTCCAGAAAGGCCTTGCGGTGTTTGCGGTCGGCCATGTAATACGACATGACGCCCACGGTGATGGCACAGAAGTAGATCACAATGTTGGCCAGCAACTGCAAAACACAACAGCACCATCATGACATGACAAACCAGCCTTCTTCACCTAGCGTCTGTTTCTTTAAGACTACTACTGTATTTATTGGTTGATATAATATAGAAAAAATGATTAATCATAATGAAAAAAAATATATATATACTGCAATATTTTTTGAAATCAGCCACAACAGAGGCAACAAATACTACTATTATGTATAAATGCTATATTTATTTGTAGATGTAATTTTAGAAAATGATGAATCATCATGAAAATACGGTAAGAATTGAATAACTAAGTAAATTATAAAATACTTTAATATTTTTAAATCAACAAAAAGGCAGTACAATTAATACTACCAGGGCCGTCCTTAGTGGGGTGCAACTGGTGCGGTTGCACCGGGCCCCGCGCTTGAGGCCAAACCCCCCCAGAACGCGAACGGACCAAGGGGGGCCCCACTCCCTACCTCGCACTGGGCCCCGCGTCAACTAAGGACGGCACTGAATACTATCATTATGTATAAATACTATATTTATAAGTAGATATAATTTAGAAAACATAAATAATCACCATGATAATACGTTAATAATTGAATGAATAAATAAATAAAAATATTGTAGTATTTTTAAATCAATACAAAAAGGCAGCACAGTAAAGCTACCATTATGTAAAAATGCTATATTTATTTGCATATATAATTTAGAAAACATAATAAATTATCATGAAAATACAGTAACAACTGAATAACTAAATTTAAAAAAAATTGCGTAATGTTTTTAAATCAGCACAAAAAAGGCAATAACGGTAATAACTGAATGACCGATTAAATTTAAAATAAAATGTAAAATACGGTAATATTTTTTTAAAATCAGCACAGGAAAGGCAGAACAACAATTACTGCCATTATGTATAAATACTATATTTATCAGTAGATATAATTTAGAAAACATGATTAATCATCATGAATTACTGTAATTATTTCATGTAATACTGTAAAAATACTGTAATTAGTTATTGAATAACTAAGTTTTTAAAAAAATACCGTTTTTTTTTTAATAATCCGCACAAAAAAGGTAGTCACAGTGCAAATCAATCAATAGTGATGATTTTGATTTTGGGGTGAAGCAGCCTGAATTTGTTCTCCACACGTTTCATGAGATTCACCACTATGAGCCACTGATCTCCAGGTTCTTGCTCTGTAATGTATTTGAATAAACTGCTTTCTGTGTTCTGCCTCTCGGGGCTGCAGTTTGTTCCAAAAACAGTCTTGCTGAGTAAGAAGAGCGAAGCACCTCAGCTGGACACCCACCTGCCGGCCCTTCTGGCCCCGTCTCCATCTTATGACTGCAGTGACACAAACGCCACTGAAGCAAATATCAGCTTACTTGCTATTTATGATGTATCAGCTGAATCTGATGAACTCATGTCCGGTCATATTTCATCCCAAAATCAAAAGAAAATATATTATATTATATCAAGAAGACCAGATGTTCTGCATTGTAACATCATTTTCATGACAATTAAGCATATAAATTAAAAAGGGAAAACAACAAATGCTACCATGATGTATAAATAATTAACAATTTATTATTTTTGAATAATGTTGTAACAACTATTGGGATAAAAGTATGTTTAAATGTCTTGAAAATAACACAACATCAACTTGATAGTCTTTTGGTTCAGAGGTTTAGAGTAATTCAGAATATTTGTAAAGAAACTCTTCATGCAAGCCTAAATTCATGGAATGGTCTGCGTCTGTTAATTTCTGCTGCAGCAGAAACGTCCACACTTTTCTTGAAACGCAATACAGGACCATTTTGTCGTCAAGTGGAGACCAGAGGAAACTCTTAACATACGACATTTTCCTCTCGCACAGCCCATCGCCTGAAAAGTTATTTCTCTTCTTTAGAAAAAGAAATGCAATCAATTGTACACTTTGTCAGAAATTGTAAACAAACACAAATAAAAAGGCATGAATGTGATCTGAATGTCCAGTGTTTTTCTTCAGCTGACTCAAGGTCTGATGCCTTTGAACTGAAACACATCTACTTTACCTCTATAGGCTGCTGGTTCAAAGGTGTTTTCGAAGTCATAGAAAGAAGATTTTGGGTTCCCCAAAGTGGATGGTTCTCAAAACAAGTGTGAAGAACATTTTAATAATCTAAGGAAACTTCTTCCATTATAAAGAACATTTTTGAGGAATAGAAAGGCTCCGTGGATGATAAAGGTTCTTCATGGAACCATCAATGCCAATAAAGAACCTTTATTTGAGATCACGTGCAACTGTAACATGATTCATAAAAGAATAATTATAGGGCCTTTCGCACCGCGGGAACCTTTTCATAGTACCAGAACTAATTGTGGAACTACCCACTTTTTGGCGTTTTCGCACCGCCGGAACTGGGTGCGATTTTAGTACCGGACTGCCTTTTTCGAGAACCAAATTAGCTCCTACTCCGGAGCAGGGTCTAACCGGCACAACTGGTACTAATCGTGACGTAAGTAGACATTGATTGGCCAAACGCGTATGAAAACGCCCTCACACGCCATGATTTAAAATGCCGTGTAAACATACTGTAAACAGTGTGTCAACTTATTTTGCAAGTATGGAGAACAGCGATAGATGGACAGACGCTGAAGTGCAGGCACTTGTAGCAAATGTAGCACTGGTAGTTGTCGTTGGAGATTCTTAGTCCTCCTTTCCGTTCTTTCAATCGCTTTACGTATACGTCGACATTCCATGTCCATTATTGTGAAACCCGCGAGACACAAAAACACAGCTCCGATCACAGCGTCCTCCATCCTCCTGTTGTTAATGTTCTTCTTCTTTGTTTCTGTTGTTGAACGCCGCGCACAAATGACGACGCTGTCGACCGGCTTACGTCACTTCTTAGTACACACTCTCGGTGCGAATGCAACCCTTTAAATGGTACTGGGAAATATTTTGCGCAAAATCGTCCCAGTACTTTAGTACTGTACATTTAGTTCTGGAACTAAAGCGGTGCGAAAGGCCCTATTATGGCTAAGCTTCAGTTCAATATGGATGAAGGTACCATTTAGACTTATTAATTAGTATTACACAATATTATTTGATCAAAATTGTTTTAATACTGGTGACACTTTACAATAAGGCTACATTTGTTAACATTACTGAACTACAATAAACTAACAATGAAAAACACTTCTAAAGCATTTATCAATCTTGGTTCATGTTAAATTTAACATTAAATTAAAATCAAAAGTTATATCTGTTAATATTATTTAAAGGACCTGAGCTAACATGAACTAATAATAAACAGTTGTATTTTTATTAAACAACATCAACAAAGATTATTAAGTACTATAACAAATGCATTGCTCATTGTTAGTTAATGCAATAACTAATGGGAGCTCATTGCAAAGCGTTACCTTAATATAAATATTTTAATAGTACTAACTAACTGGTACTACTAAGATAGATAGATAGATAGATACTGTATATCTATAGACATATTTGGATATGTCTAATTATCCCAAGTCTACAAAGCTTGAAACTACAAGGCTTTTCAAGATGTATTCCCTTCAAAATGACTAAGAAAATAATAAAAATTTTTATTTAATCATAACCATTTATATCTAAATTACTGATATACATATGTATATATATATATTTTAAAGAGAGTCAAATCTTCATGCAGCCTTTATGCTACAAAGCATGTGTTTGTTTGATGGCTTAAATTGTTGTCATTGAGTCTTTCACGTTCTCAGGTTTTAACACCGGTTGAATCAGGCTTTGATCAGAAACCTCAGGAGGAACTGTGAGATGATACGAGCCCATCATTTACAACCTTAAAACTAACGCTACCAAAAAGTGCTTGTTTGTTTTTTTCTCAGTGATGCTATAAAGGAACCATTTTTGGTTCCCCAAAGAACCTTTCAGTGGTCAGTTCTTAAAAGAACCATGTTTTTCTAAACGTGAAGCACATTTGAAGAATCTAAAGAACCCTTTTCCACTATACTTCTAAAAATAAACGTTCTTTATTGGCATCAATGGTTCCATGAAGAACGGTTTCATTCCACAGAAGGTTCTTTATAGAGGACAAAAATGTTCTTTAGATTATTAAAATGTTCTTCACACTTAGCAAAACATGGTTCTTTTAAGCACTGGAAGGTTCTTTGGGGAACCAAAAATGGTCCTTTTGGACATTTTGTGAAATGGAAAGGTTCCAGAGAGATTTCTTCATGGACACCTTATGATCATTTGAACCTCTCAAGACCCATCTTTATTCTTCCAAACTGCTGCCATCATTTTTCTCACCTGTCTTCCAAAAGCCGCCCCCTGAATGTCCTCCTGCTGCTGCTGGGCAATCGTGACGCCCAGGACGAGCGTGTGCACGCCGCAGGACACGGCCGTGATCAGCACTATGGGGGTCAGCCGCAGCGGCAGCGTCAGAAAGAAGGAAAAGCTAAAAAACGCCTGCCAGCCCACCGTGTCGCTGGGCTGATGGAAGCGGGCGAAGTTCAGTCCTAAGTAACAGAAGATCTGGGCCGCTATGAGCACCCATAAGGCGTAGGGCACCAGGCGGCGTGTCACACGGTCCGGGAGCAGACCGAACCGGCACAGCAGGTACAGCAGGACATCCGCCGCCAGCCCCACCGACGCCACGGCCACAGACGCCAGCTTATCGCTCGTGTAGAGCACAGTGCACATCACAATGATGTAGCAGTCGAAGAGGGCCGCGAACACCACCAGCACCAGCAGGGTCTCGTGCCGCTGCCGGCGGAAATAGGTCTGGTAGAGGTTCTCCAGAGAGTCTGGCGCGAAGGTCAGACGCATGAACCGCGGCAGACACAGGCAGCAGCCAGAGCTGCGCACGGTCACCTCGTGGGTGCGTCCCACCGCCTGCCCGGGGTCAGAGGGCAGGGTGACCGAACAGTCCGCCGAATACTCCGCAGAATACTCGGGCTCGGAAAAGGTCCGGTTCCGAGGCATTCTGGGGTGTTGGATTGTAAAAGATGCTATAAAAACTAACACTCCGTGTGGGTTTTAATGCAACGGACGCTGGAAAAACATTGCATGGAAACGTGTTCGCCAATGTCCAAACCTGAGATCAGATCCGAAGCGGACACCTGATTGTCATGCCTGGCATGTTTAGACACCGAAACAGATCTTGCATGCATGTTCGTGGCATTGGCCCCCGCCAGCGCCTAGACAGGCTTTGGCACTTGGGAGGCTCTTCTCGAACAAATGCCCCCAGCTACACGCCTTTGTTTTTCGGAGGTCTGCGGTCTCAGCAAGTTGACATGAAGGTGACAAAAAGGATATGGGAGCTGTTTACACATCCATCAGCCTCTCTGTTTCCAGTCGAGGATCCAGTCTCGGTGTCCACCAGCGCTCACGGTGGGTTTCCATGGTGAATCCTCGCATGGATGAAGAACATCAGGACTCAGGAAGGAAGCGAGGCGACCATTGAACGAGATGTTTCGCCCCAGATCAGCATGACACGCTGTGATAAGCTAAATAAAACCCGAATGGCAGCTTAAATCGAGAAAACAGACGCGATCGTGATCGGAGAGCGTATCGTGGCCTGATACAATCTGTTAAAATGCATTTCCCTTCCTGTGCATTATCGGTGCGCACAGGATTCACGCAGGAAATACATGTTGCGCTCCGGTGCCGTATGAAATATGGAAATGCATTTCACAATACACCGCTGCTGCCTTCTGTTATACATATCCTCACATTTTCACTACTGAAATCACCACAAGACGTGCAAATCAAGATCTTCGCAGAGGTTCAGTGATGAAAACGTGGATCTCTCTTCAGACTGTCCGTATCCTATTGAAATGCAGCGCTGCCTTTATCCGTAACGTATCCATATAACATAACACGGTCCGATTTGTGGCAAAGAACAATTTCAAAATCACCCGTGAAACACACGAAAATCCACCGTATGCCCGACTCGAAGGCTTTTCCCACCAAAAGTCATTAATAATCACGCGACTTCCCGTTTCATGGATGAAATACGTTGTTACTGGTACAGTCCTGATAGACCAGACCTGAAACTGACTTTTCATTGAGTCTGTGTAACATATACGGAGAGATCCAGTCGTTCTCTCACTTTCTAAAATGCAAACGAACGTGATGTCCGATTCGCGGAGGAATTGTTGTTTGGAGTCGGTTCTTATTAATGATTCATACGAGCTACACAAAATAATGTTCTTTTTAGCAACATCATATGACCCCTTTAAAGCTTTCGTGAATAATTCGATTTGAATGGAGAAAGTTATGTTTGAGTGAAGCTTACAGCTACGTTAGCCTACATATGTAGCCTAAATAACGCCAAACGCTGTTTATAATTCGTAATAAACATATTGTTAAATAGCAGTATTTAGCAAAATGTTACTTTGCCTTCATCAATTCGGCTGTGACGGAGAACTAAGACGTGGCTGTCATGTTGAAAGCTCAATCTGTGTAATATAATCACAAACAGCATGTAATCATAAACAGCAAACTCTTTGTGCTTCTACGAGGGGGAAAAAAAGGAAGTAAAATGCCACGCGCGACTTTTGAGAACACTTTTCAGCGATGACTCGTTTGAATCGATTCTCTTATTTGGATGTTTCGAGCGAACCGATTCGCTTACATGAATCAGACTTCTCAACGCCGCAAACGAAAAGAACCAATCGTACTATGGCGACGGCTCGCTATATGAATATTCATTCGAGTGTGCTGACGTACTTTCGGAAGCGTCCAATCACGCGACCTGTTTAATATTCATGAGCGTGACCTTCTCTATAGTAGGATTGGTCAATTGGCGTCCCTGTCAGCCCCTCCTTTTCACACCCCCTTCCGTGGGCACGGTTTGTGGAGCAAGGACACGGGCCAGCCTGTCAACAGCTAAAAATATGCAGTCCATCTTATTACAAAACATATAGTGAATTTTTATGGATAAATAATGCAACACTATGTGAATAATATTGTTGGTTTTTTTTCAATGTATTCTCCACAAAACTGTCAACACTCTCAGAATAAACAAAGCGTGGCATGCAGAGAATAAGAATTCATTTGCAAAATAATTCAAATGTAAAGCATAAATGCACATGTTTTAGGTTCGAGATC